ATTTAAAAGAATAAGAAGGGCTTCCCTGGTGGCGCAGTGGTTGGGAGTCCGCCTGCCGGTGCAGGGGACGTGGGTTCGTGCCCCAGTCCGGGAGGATCCCACGTGCCATGGAGCGGTTGGGCCCGTGGGCCGTGGCTGCTGGACCTGCGCGTCTGGAGCCTGTGCTCCGCGACGGGAGGGGCCCCAGTGGTGAGAGGCCCTCATACCACAAAAAAAAAAAAAAAAAAAAGAATAAGAAACAAAAGTAATATTTAGCTGCAGAACCTCTAAAAGCCATTATCAATCAACTCAATGAGGTAAAAGTAAACGGGAAGCACATCAGTTCAGCATCCAGTATCAGCAGCCTCTTACCTCCACTTAATTTCCTTACAATAAAATCCAAACCTAAAGCAAAGTACTATCTTTTAAGATGTCGTTATTCCAAAAAGTTAAGAAACAGGTTAAATTAATATGTTCTTATAGTTCAACTTTACAGATGTTAGACTTTCAATATGTCCATGGAAACACTTTCAAAGCAATTATAAATAGTTATGGAAATAAAGCCAGTTTTATCTACTGCTGCTATTTTCTTAGTCCCAGTCATTAAATCTAGAGGCATAACTTTAATAAAACAAATGCTGTCTTCATTATATGTTTGAATACAAATTCTCAATAGTACATTTGAGGTTAAGATGCTAGAAAGACACATGCCCCTGTCTCTCCTTATATACTGAAAAACTGGCAACCTGGTAAAAAAGTTTCTAATCTAAAATCCAGAACGAAAGTGTAATTCTGAAATTGAGCTATTTGTTAACTACAAAGAAGTTATACTGAATAATAAACAGTACACTTGCTATAAGGGGTCGTTTTTGGCAACATAACCATTTTCATGAACTGAAGTGAAATGTCTGGAATACAGATGCAGTGGTGGAAAATCTCAGGAACAGGTATTCAGAGATTAACTTTTTTTTTTTTTTTTTGCGATATGCGGGGCTCCCACTGCCATAGCCTCTCCCGTTGCGGAACACAGGCTCCGGACGCGCAGGCCCAGCGGCCATGGCCCACGGGCCCAGCCGCTCCGCGGCATGTGGGATCCTACCAGACCGGGGCACAAACCCGCGTCCCCTGCATCAGCAGGCGGACGCTCAACCACTGCGCCACCAGGGAAGCCCCAGAGATTAACTTTTTAAAGTGATGTCTACAAACATTTCCCAAAATATGGCCCAACTTTTCAGTTTAAACTTCAATCTCAGCCACATAAAATCTTTCTGAATCATACCCAATTTGAAATCATGAAATCTGCCCATTTTTCTTATGTTCTCACTCCTTTAGATTTTTAGACCACAGACTTATAATTTTTCTTTTGCATAATGTCGTCTATCATAAGAAAATGATAGTGCTCTCTGACAGGACTTGACAAAATACAGCTTGAAATAAATAAATATGCATATCTGTATATATGTATACATATGTGTGTATATATTTCTAAAGTAGATGTATTTTGAAAGAGATTTTAAATTCTCAGGTTATTTTTAAGTATCTTTCCATTCCAGAAAAGATATAAAATACAAACGCTAATCAAAAGAAAGCTTCTGTAGTTTAGTAGTATTATTAAAGATAAAGGACATTTCACAAAGATAAAGTTAATTCAACAACATAAAAATTATGTGCACCTACTAACACAGGCTCAAACTATATAATGCAAAAACTAAAAATATTTAAAAGATAAAAAGGCAACCCCACAGTAAATAGAAATAACTTAAAAGTATCTTGCATATGTTATAAAGCAGAAACTAACACACCATTATAAAGCAATTATACTCCAATAAAGATGTTAAAAAAAAATTATCTTCCATAGAGGGGAAAAAAAATAGCAAACATATAGATTTCAACAACACAATTAAAACCCTGACCTAGTTGTTCTGTACTGCACCCCAAAACTAAAAACAGACATCCTCTTCAAGTGTATATGAGACAGTTCATCAACATTAACCAAATGCTGGACCACAAAACAAGCCTCAACAAATCTTAAAGGACATAAATCATGTACAGAATGTTCTCTGACTACAGTGTGTTAAACTAGAAATCAATAAAAAAGATAACTAGAAATCTCTAGGACTTCCCTGGTGGCGCAGTGGTTAAGAATCCGCCTGCCAATGCACAGGACATGGGTTCGAGCCCTAGTCCGGGAAGATCCCACACACCGCAGAGCAACTAAGCCCATGTGCCACAACTACTGAGCCTGAGCTCTACAGCCTGAGAGTCACAACTACTGAGCGGCGTGCCACAACTACTGAGGCCCACGTGCCTAGAGCCTGTGCTCCACAACAAGAGAAGCCACTGGCCGCAAGGAAGAGTAGCCCCCACTCACCACAACTAGAGAAAGCCTGTGCACAGCAATGAAGACCCAAAGCAGCCAAAAATTAATTAAAAAAAAAAAGAAAATCTCTAAATGTTTGAGTATTAAACAATATATTTCTAAATAAGCAATGGGTTAAAAAAAACCCACATCATAATAGAATTTAGAAAGTATTTTAAACTGAATGATAAAGACAAAATAACATATTAAAGTTTGTGAGATGCAGCTACAGCAGTACATAGAGGGAAATTTATAGCCTTGACAACAGACATAGAAAAAATAAAAAATAATCAAAGCATCCATCTTAAGAAGCTAGAAGAAAAAAATAATAAAGAGGGTATGAGATATATGTATATGTATAACTGATTCACATTGTTATAAAGCAGAAACTAGCACACCATTGTAAAGCAATTATACTCCAATAAAGATGTTAAAGAAAAAAAGTGTATGAGAGGGACTTCCCTGGCGGTCCAGTGGTTAGGACTTTGCCTTCCAGTGCAGGGGAGGAAGGTTCAATCCCTGGGCAGGGAGCTAAGATCCCACATGCCTCACGGCCAAAAAACCAAAACATAAAACAGAAGCAATACTGTGACAAATTCAATAAAGACTTTAAAAATGGTCCACAACCAAAAAAAAAAAAAAAAAAAAAAAAAAAAGAGGGTATGGGAAACTTCTGGAGGTGATGGATATGTTTATGTCATAGATTGTGGTGATGGTTTCACAGGTATATATTTATCTCCAAACTCATCAAGCTGTACATATTAAATATGTACAGCTTTTTGTATATTAATTATACCTCAATAGAGTGGTTTTGGAAAAAAAAAGACAGGGAAGAAAAATTCACAGAAATGAAAAAATATAAAAGGAATGAAATAAAAATAAGATAAAAACCTAAAAAAAATATAGAGAGGATAAACAAAGCCCAAAGTTATTTTTTTAAAGACTCATAAAAATTGTTAATAGTCTTATGAAATGATTAAGAGAAAACAGATAACCAATTTCTCAACTGAAAAAAGAGATCACTACAAATGCTATAGACATTTAAAAAATAGGATGTTATTATGTCAATAAAATCTTAAATTTAAATGAAATGGTAGATTCCTAGAAAAATAAAATTTACTAAAACTGACACAAGAAAACAACAGAAAATATGAACAGCCTACTATCTACCAAAGAAATGAAATCTACAGTTAATAACTTTCCCACAATGAAAACTCCAGGACCAGAAGACTTTAGCAAACATTTAAGGAATAAAATAACACCAACCCACAGAAACTCTTGCAGACAAAAGGAAAAGTGGGAACTTGTACCAACTCATTTTATGAGGCCAGCATAATCTAGGCATCAAATCCTGACATAGACATTATCACAGAAAGAAAATTGCAAGTCAATCTCATTCATGAAAGTTGACGCAAAAATCCTAAACAAAATATTAAAAAATGAAATGCAACAATACACAAGAGCAAGAACATATCACAACCAAGTTGTATTTATTCCAGGAATATGATGAGATTGGGTTAACATTTTTAAAAATATCAATGGAGAAACTTTTGCTTCCAGTCAGGATGGAGTAGAGGGACTGGACTTAGCCCAGCCAATGAAACATACACACACACAAAAAAGAGACCACTTGATAGAAAATGAACAAAAGAACTGACAGGCAATTCTCAAAAGAAGTTAACCAAATGTCTAATATATATATATATACACATATACACACACACACACATATATAGGCGCGCTCACGCACGCACACACACACACACACACGAAAGGAGCTCAACATCCTTAGTCACCAGGGAACTACAAGTTCAAATCACAAGAAGATATCCTTACATGCCTACCAGAATGGCTAAAATAAAGAGAGGTGGGAAAAAAAAAGGAAAGAACTACATGACATTCTTATAATACACAGAAAAACTCTTTAAGGATTTCCAATACAGTATTAACTATAATTATTGACTTTTGATAGGATTACCAGTATTTTTCTTGTTTTGCTCATCTAAATTTTCTAATTTGTTTTTCAAAAATATACACACAGCTCCTATAATAAAAAAATTTTTTTTTCATTTTTAAAAAAGGCAAAAGGAAAGGCATAATAACATTCTTGGTGTGATATAACTTATTTTGAGTTTAATTTTAAAAAGCTTAAAAAAAAAAGCTTAAAATTTATTACTGGTTAATTTACATTTTCATGTCAAAATATATTGTGACAATGGTTTTCTATTGTAACATTATGGCTTGAGATGTTGTTAAAAAAAACTTACATGACCACATGCAAACATAAAATTAATCTGTTAGTACATACAGAATTGGAATGGTCAAATCATTCAACACTGAGCCATTAGTATGTGAGTACTTAAAACCAAAATATCTGCCACTATGGTCTGGTGATAAAATATAAAAATAAGTCTATTAGACAAAAACAGCTAAATGAACTTTAAAAAGCATGAAGATTATGATGAGTTTCAAGCACTAAATGCAAGAACATCTGTCAAACTCCAAATGTTAGGTGACAACTTAGCAATCAGGGATGGCACTTATGTAAGCAAGCAGCATGAATGAACACATACTTTAAAGTTTTAGGTGACATTCAGCTTTTACTACTAAAGGGAAGGATTTCCCCCCCATTACAGAGGCATTGATACACTGCCCTCTGTACCTGGCACATCCTGGGGGAGCTCAGATGCCACCTTCTTCTCTGCCATGTTGCTGCTATCATGGGTTTCTGAGAGACACCCCATGGGACTCCTCCCTTCAGAGGGACTAGTCTCTTCTGAAGAAGCATTTGTTGTGTTGTCGCCAAGATTTGCTGACACAGAGTTACCTTTATCCCCAACTTCTGTTGGCTCTACAGTAAAATGCACAACAAAACTTTAAAGATATCCTTTAAAATTGCTTTAGGACAACTGGCCACATTCAGTCAACTACTAAAAATGAATGATCACCAAAAAACCTGGCTTCTATTCGATGGCCATTTTGAAGCAATTAGATTCTGGGATAATTTTGCAGCAGGTAATTCAAAGGGTATTTAAGAATATTTGATATATTAAGAATGTTTAAGTAGTTAACATAAAAAGGAACATATTATATCACATACAAAAGTGTATATTCTGGTATAAAAACAGTGATTTTCACCAAAAAATCTTATAGGGAAATGGCACCTTATTAAGAAGTATAAATAGAGATATGGGTATAACATTATAGTAAATCCACCAATATATAAAACTCATTACAATGACTGTACATGTTATATATGGAGGAAGGGTATCCTAATCTCTTCAGAAATGTAAAATTAAATAGTTGTTTGCAATAAAAAAGATTCATTTTCATTTTGCAAGTAAAACTGGAGTTTTCGTAAGTAACACTGACGAAATATTTCTTTTTAACCAAATAATGTTTTTACCCTCAGATTTTCCTTGCTCAGGATCATCTGGTGTTTTGTCATCACTGTCTTTTTCAAGACTCTGGTCTTCAAACTCCTCTCTGCTTTTCTCAGCATCTTTGGAGTTATTATTCTCAGTCTCATTCTTCTCCTTTTCTATTTCTTCTGGACTTTTAACAATATCAATGTCTCCTTTTTTGGCTCTTATAGATTCCAAAATTTCTTCTATAATAAAACAAATAAAAGTATGTTTCCATATATACCAAGTATAAAAGTACTACAAATGCCACTTAAGAGTTTCAATACAAGTTATTAAAGATAAATTTGCTAAAAGCATTAAGAACTATGAAATAAGGATCAAGATTACCAGTAACATTTTGATGTTTAGAGAACTCAATCGATTTGGTTATCTTCACTTCTAGAAAATACATGATAATATAGGCTCTAATTTCTTTTTAAAAAAAGAAAGAAAAATTAGTCTATCTTTTAAAATTGAGATTGATATAGATTACTGTGATATCCTCCGCCATAGGAGAAAACCTGTTAAGCTGACACAGACCCACAGTCTGGGCAGTGTGGTACAGTAACAAAAACCTAGAGACCCAGGACCGAGCACAGATCTGACCTGAATTAACTACGTGAGCCTGGGGGTAGGCTACTAAATCTTCAGGCCTCCACTGTAAAATGAGAAAACAGAGGCCCATTTGGAAACATTTCTCTCTGAAGTCCCATAACTTTCTGGAAGTCACTAAATCCCTAATGGCTCTAATTTTCTTTCAACTAGGGTGGAGTGATACTACGGCATGGGTGCAGACCACAAGTTATATCAGCATAGACTCCTGTATATTAATAATGTTCTTTGGGTTATGATCCAATACTATCATTTTTACTTTGTTGCTCAAATCGGTCCAGCTTTTGGCCATTGGGAGCTTTTCCAGGTAAGTCCTGTATCCTTTAAAAACATGAGTCCTGTAACCTTTAAACACACTTCCTTCCCACCTTCCTTCCTTCTGTGCTTCCTCACTTTCCAGCACTGCAAGACATTCCAGACTTACCTTGTATTTTCTTTGTCCCAGCCCTAGAATTCTCAAGGAGTCTTGATTCTTTTTTTAATTGGAGAATGAGATTTTATTTTTTTTATTTATTTATTTTTTAAATTTTTTTGCGGTACGTGGGCCTCTCACTGCTGTGGCTTCTCCCGCTGCGGAGCATAGGCTCCGGACGCACAGGGTCAGCGGCCACGGCTCACGGGCCCAGCTGCTCCACAGCTTGTGGGATCTTCCCGGACCGGGGCATGAACCCACGTCCCCTGCATCGGCTGGCGGACTCCCAACCACTGTGCCACCAGGGAACCCCTGGAGAATGAGATTTAGAAGTCATGATCTGGGGCTTCCCTGGTGGCGTAGTGGTTGAGAATCTGCCTGCTAATGCAGGGGACACAGGTTCGAGCCCTGGTCTGGGAGGATCCCACATGCCGCGGAGCAACTAGGCCTGTGAGCCACAACTACTGAGCCTGCGCGTCTGGAGCCTGTGCTCCGCAACAAGAGAGGCCGCGATAGTGAGAGGCCCACGCACCGTGATGAAGAGTGGCCCCCACGGGCTTCCCTGGTGGCGCATTGGTTGAGAGTCCGCCTGCCGATGCAGGGGACACGGGTTCGTGCCCCGGTCTGGGAAGATCCCACATGCCGCGGAGCGGCTGGGCCCCTGAGCCATGGCCGCTGGGCCTGCGCGTCCGGAGCCTGTGCTCCGCAACGGGGGAGGCCACAACAGTGAGAGGCCCGCGTACCGCAAAAAAAAAAAAAAAAGGATGTTACAATAGGGGAAGCATGCTGCAGGGTACGTGAAACCCTCTGTGTTATCTTAGCAACTTTTCTGTAACTCTAAAATTATTCTAAAATTAAAAGTTTATTAGAAAATAAGAAAGCAAAGAGTAAATTTTAAAGGAATACCATTTCTCATAATTAAAAATAGGACTCCCTAAAAGGTTTATTAATAAAATTCTTGAATTAAAGAAAGAAACAAATATAATTTGGGGAACATCAGTAATGAGCAAGGCAAGGTACAAAACACTAAAATGCACAGGATCCCCAATTTATGTTAGGATGAACAAGGTCCTCTTGAGAAAATGAAATATAGAGAATTAAAATAATCATACTTGAAAATTTTAATATATTTTCATATTTTGTAGTGATTTCATACCAGGAAATGTAACAAAAAGTAAAATAAGAAAATTTCCCTCTCACCATTAGCTGCCGCCAGAAAGGATTTATTACTGCCCCGAGCCTTATTGGTCAGGTCTTCAGTTATGTCCATGTGCCGGTGGATTTCTTCACGCATTTCTTCTAGGATTTTGCAGAGTTCTGCTTCCCAGTAATCTTTGTCTAGACAGTCAATTAATTCTGCAAGCTGGACCTTTGTGCTGTAGTACCAAATTTTCTTTTCATTTTCATTTTCCGTATCTTCTTCTCTGTTTAAAAAAAGCACAAAAACACTTTGATGTTAGACAAAATGGCACTTACCTGACAATTTTATCTATCCAGTGGAAGTTAAAACACACGAAGATTGTGCACTAAAGCTCAGTATATTTGCTCATAAGGGATCCTATCAAGTCTCATTCAAACTCAAGGTACTCATTTTATTTGAACCTCTAATTATTTTGATTTCCTAGCCCATAGCAGCTTAGGATAAAATAATTTGCTTGTAGTAGTGGGAAGAGAGGAATTAGTATAGCAGCAAAGAAAGATATCTAAAAACATGACATGCAGAAACATGACCTTAAAATTCAGAGCGTGTGAGTACTTGGTGGAGGACAGTCTTGGTTACACTTCAATCAACTTTAAGATCATCACTGTAAAAATGCGAGGAGCAGAATAACCAGAAATATTTAAACTATGTTCAGTACTTGGCAGGTACAGAGCAGGTTCACATTACAGTATAGTTTAGAAACATTTCCATCCAAATGGTGTAAATGCTCTGCTAAATTCTGGTCCCTGAAGGAGTCATCTCAATCAAGTAACAATGCCTCATCCCTCTTTCTTAACGGACAATCAAAGCTCAAACTGGAGAGAAGAAGAGCACAGCAGCTTCTTTTCCTGCTTAAATCTCTCTAAAGATGCCAGTCACTTGTAATGGAGGTGGAGACTTCAACACTAATAACTAAAAACACAAGGCAAATTAATGTCTAGGACCAGACTTCAAGAAACATATGTGACTTAGTTCTTCTCTCATTCAGAAGAATTCAGGAGTATGTGTGAGGTACCTAACAAGAAAGAGTCTAACATTCCTGTCTGCTCAAAGGCAAACTCACAAAGCTGAAAGAAGAGCACTTTCTTAAAGATATGGCTTTAAATGAGATATGTGAACGGGGACAAGACACAACTCCTCTGAGCCTCTGAGACATTTTATTCACCTCACTGGTAAAATGAGGACAACAGTACCTGTCTTGAGGGACACTGTAAGATACTATAAGGTAAATAAAGGTATTATAATAAGGCATCTATCATAGTGCCTGGAAAACATCATTAGCAATCAATAAATAGAAAATATTATTGTTACTAGTAAGGTAGTAAATAAATTAAAATGTAGCAGAATTCCAGGAATGAGACATTCAATAATTCTGAACAAAGAAGGGATATATTAAATCATGGATAAATAAAAGGATATCAAAATTATCAAAAATTTTAAAGAAAAAGAGATTAATAAAGGGTCCCTGTTTTCCCTCTTTCAAATCAGCATCTGCTGACATATGATATTAATATATTTCTGTTAGAAGCTTTTTACAAAAATTTCTGAAAATCATTTTTTTAAGCTGCTCTAGATTTCACTCTACAGTGGGTATTTCTACTGACTTTTTATGACTGAGTGAGAACCATGGTCTACTCCAATTTAAAATGTTAAAGATGTCAGAATCCTCTAAATAAAAAGATTAATAGGGGGCTTCCCTGGTGGCGCAGTGGTTAAGAATCCGCCTGCCAATGCAGGGGACACGGGTTTGAGCCCTGGTCCGGGAAGATCCCAAATGCCGTGAAGTGGCTGAGCCCGTGTGCCACAAGTACTGAGCCTTCATTCTAGAGCCCACGAGCCACAACTACTGAGCCCACGTACCACAACTACTGAAGCCCATGCGCCTAGAGCCTGAGCTCTGCCACAAGAGAAGCCACTGCAATGAGAAGCCCGCGCACCGCAAGGAAGAGTAGCCTACCCTCGCCTCAACTAGAGAAAGCCCACGCAGCAACAAAGACCCAATGCCGCCAAAAATAAATAATAAATAAATAAAAAGTACATAGTGAGCTTTGACGGAGCACAAGAGTTACAGGTCAGCCTAATTCTTTGTTTTCTAAGATTTCAATCTTAAGGATTTTCCATCTGTTTAATGATATCAAATTCTTTCCTTGTTTGCTTTTTTCCTCTTGATTCAGAAATATCTACAAATTTCAATGGAACAAGAAAAACATTCTACATAAAAACGTTTTTGGGGTAGAAAACAATTTATAAGCATAAGATTTCTACACGAAAGTGAGATGCTATGGGAACAAATTTAATTAAATGGACATTCTGTCCAATTTTTCAAGCAACTCACAGGCTACTAAAAGGGTCCTTATCAGTTGACTGACTTAGCCCATGCTGGCATCTGCATAATTTCCATCTTAACGGAGAACACTTAATTTTAATCTTAATTTTCATCTTAACAGAGAATTCACAACTTTATGTGGTGGCAGTCTATTCTAGATTGGAACTGCTCTGTTAGAAAGTTTTTTCCTTTTAAGAGATGACACACACCTAGTGTTTCCACCAGTCCATCCTGATTCTGCCTGCTAGAATTCTCTGAAATAAACCTAACGCCTCCTCCACACACAGTCCATCAACTCTTTCACAACATCTATAATTTTGCCCCATTTTTTTTCTTTTCAGGCCAAACATGCTCAAATACTTTATTCCTCATACAGCATGTTTTCCAGTCGTCACTACCCTGATATTCTTCCCCTAAATGTACAGTTTTGTCAATGTCCCTCTAAAAACAGCTCTATTGGGGGACTTCCCTGGCGGTCCAGTGGTTAAGAATCCGCCTTCCAATGCAAGGGACACGGGTTCAATCCCTGGTTGGGGAACTAAGATCCCACATGAAGCGGGGCAACTAAGCCCACACCCACAACTACTGAGCCCGCATGCCACAACTACAGAGCCCATGCGCTCTGGAGCCAGCATGCCACAACTAGAGAGAAGCCCACAAGATGCAACGAAAGATCCCACATGCCGCAACTAAGACCCGATGCAGCCAAAAATATATATTAAAAAAAAAAAAAAGTAAAAATAGCTCTATTTTTCATTCTGCTCATCAAAGATAATACTCAACAATGACCATTTATTTTCTTCTTGAAGCTACAGAAGGATAAATTCATCAAAAGCATAAAGTAGCAAAACTGAGTGAACAATAACAGCTAATGCTTTCAAAGAAGTTTTAATATTGATGTACTTGGGCACGTTTACACAGTTTATATAACCAAGATTATCTGTTCTAATTGTAAAAGTGACAACTGCTTTCCTAGATGAATATACATCAATTTGTAAGTACCTTTGTTTATGGGGTTAGAATTTGGTTTCTACAGAAGCTCTGTCTCTACAACGTTCCTTCTGCACACCCAAACTGGCCTGGCTTCCCTGAAGTCACAGGGGAGGACAGAATGGAATGAAAATATGGGCCAAAAATACAATTAATAGCAAACTTACAGATTATATGCCTACATTTTAAAGTCTGTTTGGCTTTTACTTAGCCAAGATAAGTAAGAGGTTAATGACTAACAGTACGTTTTGAGTTTCATTTCTAAACAAACCCACAGAAACTAATAAGAGTGAGGAACGCTAGTGTGGTGGGTTGACAAAAAGTTATGTCCACCTGAAACTGTAGAATGTGACCTTATTTGGAAATATGGTCTTTGCAGATGTAATTAGCTAAGGATCTTGAGATGAAATCATTCTGGATTTAGGGTGAGCCCTAAATCAAATGACTGCTATCCTTACAAGAGGAGGAGAGGATTCAAAGAGACACGTGGAGAAGGTGATGTGAAGATGGAGGCAGAGATTCGAGTCATGTGCCTTTGCCTATGAGCCAGGAGACACCAAGGAAGGCCAGCAACCACCAGAAGCTAGGAGACAGGCATGGAACAGAGTCTCCCTGAGCCTCCAGAAAGAAACAATCCTGCTGACACTGGTTTCAAACTTCTAGCTGCCAGAATCGCGAGAGAATAAATTCCTGTTGCTTTAAACAACTCATTTTATGGTCAATTTGTTATGGCAGCCCTAGGAAACTAAAACAGATTTTGATTTCATGCTTTTTTTTTTATGATTTAATTTTTTAACTTATTTTTTTGGCTGCATTGGGTCTTTGTTGCTGCGCGTGGGCTTTCTCTAGTTGTGGCAAGTGGGGGCTACTCTTCATTGTGGTGTGTGGGCTTCTCACTGCAGTGGCTTCTCTTTGTTGCGGAGCATGGGCTCTAGGTGCGCGGGCTTCAGTAGTTGTGGCTCGTGGGCTCTAGAGCGCAGGCTCAGTAGTTGTGGCATGAGGGCTTCAGTAGTTGTGGCGCACGGGCTTCTCACTGCAGTGGCTTCTCTTTGTTGTGGAGCATGGGCTCTAGGCGCGCGGGCTTCAGTAGTTGTAGCTCGCGGGCTCTAGAGCGCAGGCTCAGTAGTTGTGGCATGAGGGCTTCAGTAGTTGTGGCTCGCGGGCTCAGCAGTTGTGGTCCACAGGCTCTAGAGCGCAGGCTCAGTAGTTGTGGCATGCGGGCTCAGCAGTTGTGGCTCACGGGCTCTAAAGTGCAGGCTCAGTAGTTGTAGCACGCGGGCTCAGCAGTTGTGGCTCACGGGCTCTAGAGTGCAGGCTCAGTAGTTGTGGCATGCGGGCTTCAGTAATTGTGGCACGCGGGCTCAGTAGTTGTGGCTCACAGGCTCTAGAGCGTGGGCTCAGTAGCTGTGGCATGCGGGCTTTGTAGATGTGGCACGAGGGCTCAGTAGTTGTGGCTCGCAGGCTCTAGAGCGCAGGCCCAGTAGTTGTGGCATGCAGCCTTCAGTAGTTGTGGCATGCGGGCTCAGTAGTTGTGGCTCGTGGGCTCTAGAGTGCAGGCTCAGTAGTTGTGGCATGCGGCCTTCAGTAGTTGTGGCATGCAGGCTCAGTAGTTGTGGCTTGTGGGCTCTAGACTGCAGGCTCAGCAGTTGTGGCACACAGGCTTAGTTGCTCCACGGCACGTGGGATCTTCCCAGACCAGGCTCGAACCCGTGTCCCCTGCATTGGCAGGCAGATTCTTAACCACTGCACCACCAGGGAAGTCCCCTAAAACAGATTTTGATACTGGGAAAGGAAGTGCTGCTATTACAGATACTTAAAAACGTGGGATTGGCTTAGGAACTGGAAATGGGAAAAGGCTGGAAGAATTTTGAGGCACTTGACAGAAAAGGCCTAGACTTTCTTGAAGA